TTTAAAGAAACAACTCAAAAACATTTTAAAGAAAATCAAAACACACACAAAACATGAACACCACAACGCACACATTACAGAATATATTGATACACTAAAACAAAAACTCGCAGCCAAAGCACGTAGATTCAAACGATATAAAACATGTACACTAAGAAAACAACAAAATAAATTATTCACAAACAATGAAAAACTTTTCTACAGACAAATCAGTACCAAAACAAATACTGATACACAACACAGTGGCACACCAACAGAAGAACTCACAACTTATTGATCTTCTCTTTGGTCCAATGCTGTTACACACAATGCTGAAGCAGGCTGGATCGAGGAGGAGAATAGAAACTTGCACAACATACCAACTATGCCCTGTGCTGAAATAAACATACACTACATCCGCTACGCTGTTAACAAAACACACAACTGGAAGACACCTGGGCCCTTAGTCTCGAGTTTTTCATGTTGTACTCAAACTGACGTCATCGAACTCACTCGTGTTACTATGACTCACATAATCGGTAGTCTCAAGTTAGACCCTTCGAGTAAACTCGAAAGGCGAGCGGAAGTAGGTCATATTCACTTGTTTACGTTTGTCGATAAGCATGATGGGATTATTTACAATGCATCTGGGTTTGCGACTATAATGATTCGACCAATCAACTTAACTGTAACAAGTTGTAAACAAATCAACGCAAATTAGTTTACATGTGCTACAGTTAAAAGTTGTCTTGTGGCAATATAGTATGCAGAAACAAAATGAAAACCTCGAATGTTTTATTTTAAAAAATAAGCGAAGAACAAAAAGAAATATTAGTAACATATATAGAAAATAATAAGAAAATAAACAGGGGAAAATTTGACAACGAATTTACAAGAAAAAGACAATTCGCTTTGTGGAGAGAATTATTTGAAAAATTAATTGCGTGTGTTGAACCTAAAAAATCCGTTATGTAATGGAAAATGTATTTAAACTTAATCCTTTCTTCATATAGTTTTCTTCCTTGATCTATTTCTTAAATTGTTTTGTCTATTAAGATTATTTATTAATCAGAACTTAACACTTCTGATTAAT